ACCGCGGTCAACTACGTGGGAGTCCAGCGACATAGCCATTACGCTAACTGCTGGTCCCTCCAATGTTAAATTCTCTTTAAAGGAGCATTATACTATGTATTAAATGTATAACTAAAACGATTCTTTTCGGTATGGCCATGTGAATATTCTGAGAGAGAATTAAATTAATCACCTTAAAGTGTCCATAATGGTAACCATTAGGAGGTCATTGGGATAGTGAGGTAAAGACTTGGAAGGTTCCACTGTCCTTACCATCTGCCAGCTGTCTCCATACCCAGTGGGTACAAAGTGATTTGATCTGCTTATATTGTACTGTTTAAGATGAACTAATTCCTCTATTCTTAGTTTTTAAAGAAAACCCAGGACAAGACTGAATTGTCAACCAGTCTTAAATTCTTTCACAAACATGCTGTTACGTACGATGTGACTAAATGCCATTAAAAAATAAAAGAGGGTGGTTTAAAAAAAAAAAAGATGTGTAAGAGTGGAGGCCATCAGGTGGCGTGGTGCTTAAGGCACTGGACTCCCACATGGCTGACCATGGTTCAAGTCCTGGACCGGGTGGCTTCCTTTCTCACTTTCTCTCTGTCTCACTCTATCTCTGGTCAAATTAAAGTAAATAAATAAATAAATTTAAATAAAATAATTCTTTAAAATAAAGATATATAAGAGTGTTGTTGCATTGGAGTAGATGTAATACTTCTGTGACTTGAGATTTCTTGAATTGTGGTAGTATATCAGATTGCACTTTGATATGATCATACATAAACTAAGAGATTGGTTGATTTGTTCTGTAGCAGGATCAGATTCACAGTCCACAGAGGACACTTAATTTGGATCTTTCATTCTGATAGCAGCAATACATAGGAGAAACCATACTCAAAGCAGTTTTAAAATCTTAAGGTATTTGGGGCCAGCAGGTGTCATGGTGGTTAAGGTGGTTGAATCCCACATGGCCAACTGTGTGGTTCGAGTGTGGACCCAGCAGCTTGAGAAATACACTGGACATGTGTGTGTGCATGTCCAAAATCCTGAGAAGGGAATGGAGGAGGTGGGATTGCGACTTGACCACCCTCTGTGAGGGGTGACTCCTCACTTTCTCTCTCTCCCTTTCTGTCTCTGTCTTCTGTGAGTACACGTACCATATGGCAAAAACTGGAAGAAAAAAAAAAAAAGAAAAGAAAAAAATAAACTTATGTAATCAATAATGAAGATTTGGTGGTGGTTCTTTTACTAAGATTAGATGCTGTCATCTATTAACTTTTTGACTTCCAAACAGATTCTTCTGGGGGAATTACTTGAGAAAAAACTATAGCAAATGTCTGCTCAGGGCCTACGGAATTAATTCCATCAACCGAAGAGGAGTGGGCTCACCCAGGGGTGTGCAGGTGTCCAAGGTCTGGCTTCTTGTTCCAAATGTGGCTCTGTATAGAAAAAAAAATGGGACTCATCCAGAGTTTGTGGTTTTTGTTTTTTTGATATAGGGCATGTGCCCTTGGTGGAAAGACAGAGACAGACAGAAAATGAGAAATCACCCCTTGAAAGCCAGAAATCACCCCCCCTGGAGGGGAATAGCCACCTCAGTCCCTTCTCCTCTAGGGATTTTGGACATGCAAGCACTTTCTCTCTGCCTCACATGTGCCCTGCATGAGTTTCAAGCTGCCAGATCTGGGGCTTGAATCATGGTCAGTCATGTGGGAGTCCAGCGGCATAACCATTATACCATCTGCTGGTCCCCACAGTTCATTTTTATTTGAAGAACTATAGAACAAGAGATGTGGCAGGTTATAGATTTTTTTAAAACTCAGATTGAATTATTTTTTAGGAAATTTGCCAGAGGGTGCATGAGCTTGCTGGGAAAGACAGAGGGAGAGGAAGAAAGTGCTCCTCAGTGGGGCATGATCACGCCACATTCATTCTCCTCCATTTCTCCACCCTGCCAGGATTTGGGGCACTCCTGCACTCAAGTGCTCTGTGTTTTTCAAGCTGCCAGGGTTGGGATTTGAACTGCAGTCATCCATGTGGGATCTGGTTCCCTTAACCAGTAGGTGGTGGGGCTAACCCACATTTTAATGTGTTATGAAATTTGTACTTATGTAAGAAATAGCATTGAAATCTCATTCATAACAGGGTGGAAGAATGAAAGAAAAGAAAGATGAAAGGATGTTGAACCACTTTGTATGGCCGTATGATGGAAGGAAACGAAACTGAGAACTCCTGCAGTAGAACACTCGGATGGCTTCAACAGGATAATGATGCTAAGCCATGGCTTTGGAAATTCTCTAATTGCTTTTCTCGCCCTGAGCAGACATTGCAACTTAGTCCCCAAACGGTAACTATATGCAAGATTGAAGACCAGCAAATGTCTTATGCAAATAGATTGGGAGGGGAGGTTTTTTTTTCTTTCCCTGGGGACTGTGTCGGGTTTTCCTGTATATTCTGCTTGTATTGCCTGTGGTATAATAGCACATTGTCATGATTCCTGACTCAATGAGGACAATGTTTTTTTTTTAAAACTTCTTTATCTATTCTGAGTAACGGTAGATGCTTTAAATATTTAATGTTAAAATTTGGGGAACATTGGTTTCTTATTAGAGTGATAGATTCCAAAGACAAAAATCTACATTGTCAAAAGAAAGTGCAAAAGAAGTTTTATTTTATTGTGGTCTTTTTGAGTCATGTAATCTAGAAAAGATTGACCTGATTGACAGTCTTTTGATGAGATGTTTAAGATTTCTCTTGAGTGTTTGAATAGTTCAGTAGCTTTTTTGCTTGCTTTATATTTTTTATAGTGATTTTGACATTTTCTGATTTCATGTCCTCCTGTCGTCACCTTTTTATTTGTCTCCGTATATTGTCTTGGGGACTCAAATGAGATTTCAGCTTTTGAAAACTCACTTTTATTCTCTCCTTTCTCTGAGCACTCACTGTACAATGTCTTTGTTGCAAGGCATCAAGTAATTTGGTATTACAGAAGTATTTTACTTAGGGATAATTGGCAGTGAGGCTTGGCATCCCAAGCCGGTCCTCCTGTGATATGACATCTGTTCTGGTCCTCGTAGAATTGCACTCTTAACTTTACAGGTCCTGGAACTCAGTTTTTTTAGTAGCACGCAAAGTGGAATAGGCTCAGAGGGATCAACTCACAATAGTCCTGCTCATAACAGCTTGATCTGTATCAATCAGAATTCTATTATATTAATTTCCAGTCTGAACTGTAATTAGTAAGAGGGTAGAACATGCTGCTTGTTGTCTGGTCAATCCGTTGGTGTTACCTCTCTTGTAGCAAAAGTCTAGCTGAAAATTCAGATTTCTCCCAGATGAGTATATGCTCTCAGATGAGTATAGAATCGTAGCAAAAGGAGTGAAATCATAGTGCTCATCGGACCCTTTTATGCTCTGAGGGATGAACATATATCTGTCATCCCATTAGGGCGAATGGTTGTTTGAATAGTTTTTGCAGTCAGCCCATAAAGGCTGTTGATTAGTTAGATCCCGTGTAGTGGCCGGGTACTGTGCTAAGTACTTTATGTGTTCTCTCATTTTATTCTTTTTCCCCCCTCACTTCCTAGGTAGGTAGTACTAACGATGTATTTGCACACAACATTCCACATGTGACTTATCTGTGTTCTCACTTTATGGTGCCATTACGTGAATGTTTTCGTAGTGAAAATCATGTCAACAGTAGATGGCATTCCTTTTGCCACAGTTTCCATTGAAGCTAGTCAGCAAATGGTACTAGGCAACCTTTTGAGGGAGGGAGGAAATATGGAACACTCTTATGAATTTGCATGTCATCCTTATGCAGGGGCCACGCTAATCCCTGTATCGTTCCCACTTTAGTGTATATGCACCGAAGCGTGCACTCATTTCATTCTTTTAACAACTGCGGGCAGTGCATTCGGCTGTTCCTTGTTTGTGGGTGAGGAAACTGAAGCATGGAGAGGTTAGGTAACTTCGTCAAGGTCATACAGCATTAGGTAATAGATTAAAGCCCACGCTTACAACCTTTGTGACGTGCTGGCCTTTAGGGCTATGTAGGAGTCACAGACAAACAGCTTTGTACAGATTAAAGCCCACGCTTACAACCTTTGTGACCTTTAGGGCTATGTAGGAGTCACATGACAAACAGCTTTGTATCTCTTTCTCAGATGGTTTTCTGATTACTCTTATTCTTTTCACTGGCTGCAGTTTAATTGTTGGCATTATGTCTTTAGGTCAGGATGTCCTGGGGCTTGTTAAATGTCACAGTGGCACAGGTGAGCCATTTGGGTAGGTGGCCGATTACATCCATAGTGTTTGAAATCTTGCTCTTCTCCTTTGAAAGACCTTACTAAAACCCTTGTGTATGAATTGCAGCAGTGGTTATTTTTCTCAAACCACTTTGCCTGTAAGCCATCTGTATTGAATGCTATTTGTGACTGTTGTTTTAATACCATCTATTTTGTCTTCAGAACATCTGGTGAGGGAAGAGGAAGTTATCAAAGGGAAGTCACTGAGGCATAGATGGTTAGTTAGCCTGACTTGGTGAAGATGTAAACAGACCCCCTCTAAAATTCTCTTAAAATTTAGGAAGGATACAGTCTTAATTAATACCATCTATTTTGTCTTCAGAACATCTGGTGAGGGAAGAGGAAGTTATCAAAGGGAAGTCACTGAGGCATAGATGGTTAGTTAGCCTGACTTGGTGAAGATGTAAACAGACCCCCTCTACTCCATTCTCTTAAAATTTAGGAAGGATAAAGTCTTAATTTCAGTTACTGGTTTTGGTGTTCACTTCTTGCAGACTCCCTGAAGAATGCCCCTGGTTTTCAGCTAGCTGCTAGTGCATTTGTTTGGTTATGATTGAGTGATATAAGTGGACTTGAATGCTATTTCCATTTCTTAAGGCAGTAGGATATGAATAAGAAGAATCAAGATCCGCTGGCCTTGTAAAATTAACATGTGTTCTGATCTTCTTTTCTCAGAAAGAGTACATGGAGAACAAGAAAGTTGCTGTGGAATTAAAGGATGTGCCATCTCCCCTTCATGCTGGCTCTAAACTTTTTCCAGCAGTCCCACTTCCTGATATTCATTCTCTTCAGCAACCTAAAATACAGCTTTCAACTGTCCCCAAAGTAAGCTGCTGTGCTCATTGCCCTAATGAACCCTCCACTTCGCCAATGCATTTTGGTGGTGGTGGCGGTGGCGGTAGCGGAGGTGCTGGTAGCTTGATTCACACGGGCGCACTGTTAGACTCGCAAAGCACCAGGACAATCACATGTCAGGTAGGGTCAGGGTTTGCTTTCCAGTCTGCGTCTTCACTCCAGAATGCCTCAGCTAGGAGCAACTTGGCGGGCATTGCAAGTGACTTTCCCAGCATGTGTCTAGAGAGTAACCTATCTTCCTGCAAACACCTACCCTGCTGTGGAAAACTCCATTTCCAGTCTTGTCACGGGAATGTGCACAAGCTGCATCAGTTTCCGAGTCTCCAGGGCTGCCCCTCTGCTGGCTATTTCCCCTGTTCTGATTTCACGAGTGGGGCTCCAGGGCATTTGGAAGAGCACATTTCACAGTCGGAGCTAACGCCTCACTTGTGCACCAACTCTTTGCACCTAAATGTGGTACCTCCGGTTTGTTTAAAGGGCTCACTTTACTGCGAAGACTGTCTAAACAAGGTTTGTATCGTTTTATTTTTTACATTGGGTGGAGCCGAGGTTTGAGGAATGACTTTTTTATAGTGGATTTATCTTGTAACATCTTGATTGTGTGCGGGGTTGGAGTTCTTCCATGATATAGCTCTCTCCTGTCAGCATCACTTGGGCTGTTCTTGAAAGAAGCAGAGGGTAAAATGAGAGAACAAAAAAGTACAGAGCAATTATTCATGTAGATTATACTTTTAGAGCCTTTTGTTGCAGTAAATCTAATCTATATTCTATACGCAAATCTAGTTTGGCAAGCATCCGTGTTCTGTCTTTAGAGTATAGATGGACTTCATACCACTTAGACCTAACGTACACAAGGGCCCATTTGTGTCATGCAGGTAACTGTATGTTGTCTTTGTAATAATATGGAGAACTCGGAATGTGGCCTCAACCACGCCGATGTTGGAGCGAAGACTTCACTGCTGCTTGCGTGTGAGGACTCCATTGGAGCAGACACGTGCCGTAGACTATAATAAAGGCCTTACGTGAATGTCTTCCCTGACTATTTCAAGTCACTTCTCAGAATGAGCTTATCAATTGAAAGCTAGCGGTTCTGAGAACGATTATTTGGAAAGACAGTGTTTTATCAGAGGTTAGCAGGTAGAAAGGTGAAACACATAGGATGTGTTCTCATTTGTTGTATATAACTCTAGGTTCTAAGCGATGTATCTGAAATCTTTTTTAAAAAAATTTTGAAACAGCCGGCAAGAAATAGTATAATTGATCCTGCTAAAGTCTGGCCAAACATACCACCTCCAAATACTCAACCTGCACCTCTTGCTATCCCTCTGTGTAATGGCTGTGGAACCAAAGGAACAGGGAAGGAGACCACGTTGTTATTGGCGACCAGTCTAGGCAAAGCTGCTTCGAAATTTGGTAAATGACTATGGCATAAACGTGCGTCTTTTAAGTAGTTTTCAATATCCGATACTAACATTAATCTCCTTTAAAATATTCCTTGCGGTTCTGAAGCTACTAATGTGTGAGTCTCCATTTCCATCTCCTGGTAAATATTAATTATCTTTGGATGGTTATAGACGAGTAAGTCATTTGCTCTTTATGTTGAACTGAGGTTGTTTGAGATTTAAAAAAAAAAAAGTGTAGAAAAATGGAGAGTATATTAGGAAAATTAAAGTTCTTGCAGAGACTTGGGGTCAGTTTAAGTTTATAATCACACTCGTTGATTGTGTACTCTCTAGAAGTGTTTAATTTTAGAACCATTTAGGAATGGCTGATTAAAAACGATATTTGAAAACCCGAGTTCTTAATTACAATCACGTCCCCAAAAAGTAGTTAATGTGCTGTTTCATTTAGAAACATTTAAAACGTGCTAAACCAGTGTGACTGCAGTGTTAAAGGTAATTGAAGAGTCAGCAATAGCAGCAACTTCAAGTTTTGCCATCTCTGCTCTGCCGTACCACGTAGGTGGACAGGCTGAACATGGACGGGCAGCATGGACCGAACATGAAAACCAGGTCCCAGAGCTGCAGCATCCGGGACTAACTGCATGGTAGACTCAGGGATGCATCCCTGGTTAGCACGAGAATGACTCGTGTTGTGAGATGGCTTTATTGCGGGCCTCAAGTCATGTGCCCTTTAGATTTGTTTTCTGCTGAAAAAGGAAATAATCTCTTAGAGCAGTACTATTGCAATTTGGTAGTTCAGTAGTTAAATCAGTGAATTTGGTATCCTTAAACTTAACATTGATCAAAAATTGAGTTTTTCTGCCACTGAGAATGATAGGTAGATATTTTGTTTTAACTTGCCATTGCTTTTTCACTGCATGTAATCGATAGTGTTCATATTTTTCAAGGGTCACCAGAAGTTGCAGTTGCTGGACAGGTGCTAGAAAACTTACCCCCCATTGGAGTTTTTTGGGACATTGAAAACTGCTCTGTTCCCTCTGGCCGTTCAGCCACTGCTGTGGTACAGAGAATCCGTGAGAAGTTTTTTAAAGGCCACAGAGAAGCAGAATTCATCTGTGTGTGTGACATCAGTAAAGAAAACAAAGAAGTTATTCAAGAGCTGAATAATTGCCAGGTAATTTTAAAAGAATTTTACCCTGTGATAGAAGCACCTTTTTTTTTTTTTCCTTTCGGGGGAAAATGTTGTTTTAAAAAGTCTAATTCAGGGACCAGCAGTTGGCGTAATGGCTAGGTCGCTGGACTCCTATGTAGTCAACTGTGGTTTGAGTCCCGGACCTGGTGGCTTAAACTCACACCGGTACATGTGCGTACATACCCAAGTTCCCAAGAGGAGAAGGGACTGTGGCATGGCCATCCTCCCGGGGGGTGATTTCTTGCTTTCTGTCTCTCTGTCTCTTTGGCAAGCGCATGCACTGTATAGCAAAAACCTTTCCAAAAAAAAAAAAAGAATTCTGATTCAAAATTTAATGATAACATATGGGCTGTTTAAAATAAATTAGCAAAGGATTATTTCTTAAGTATTGAAAATCATTTAATCATGTTTGATCTTTCTTAATACTATCCATTCTTCCATGCTATACTGGTATAATAGTTACATGTGAATTGCTTCCTTTGATTTTTGTAACTTATGTGAACCAGGAATGTAGGATCAATATTTATGATTTATAAACCAAACTAAGGCCTTGAGAGAGAAAGCAACTTTTTAAAGATCATATACCCGTAAGTGGAAGAGCTAGGATTTAAATCCAGGTTGTCTGACCCCAAAATCTGTGCTCTTAAGCTAGAACTAGAATCCAGGTCTTTTGACTCTTAATTAATTCCATTGATATTCCATATTGCTGTCAGAAATTATGTATTTTTGTTCTTTACAAAACTAAATCCTACTGTGCATTGCATGTGGTTGAGGCAACTCTTCAAATAAGCCGTTTCTTGCTTTGAAGTCTATTCTATGTGAGTCTAACAGTTTTAACAGGAATAAACACATTTGAGCTCCCTTAGGGGTATACTCCCTCATCGTCTGCCCCTAACCTCAGGTCCTGAAAGCCGTAGACCATGGATAGTAGAGACAGATGACATGAAAGGCAGCCCCAGGTCTTAACTTAATCATGCAGCTAGGGACCGGGAGGGGGTTCAGAATGGATGCTCTGTGAGGCCAATCCACCTGGTTGCCTCTAGAGACCACCCTGGAGACCTCCCTAAATGCACAGGGCACATGCCTACTTGTGCTCTGGGGCTGGGGCTGGGGCTAGGGCTGGATTGCAGTGGCAAGACTGCCAGGGGTTCTCACTCTTTCTAGTAAACTTTTAAAAAATTATATTAAAAAATTATACATCTAATCTCTGCCTCCTCAAATTGGCAAGAGCTTTTAGAGCTAATTTAATGGCTTCAAATTTCACTTTCTTTTTTTCTATTGTCTGAAATGGAGATAAAAGAAGTACAAAAGCAGAATATTAGAGATGAGAGCACGGTGATAACAAATGCATTAATTCATACGGAGAACCAGTTTTGCAATGATTGAAATTGGGTTGTAATTTTTCTTTATTCCTGATAATAATAATTGAGAGTTTTTTCTCCTCAAGAACTGTTAAAATGTGACCAGGATGCTAAGCGAGGTTCTCACCTTGGTCCTTGCTCCTTTCCCCTTGTGATAAATGAGTGCAGGTAACTGTTGCCCACATCAATGCTACTGCGAAGAATGCTGCTGATGATAAACTCCGGCAGAGTCTCCGAAGGTTTGCAAATACTCACACCCCCCCCGCCACTGTGGTTCTTGTGTCAAGTAAGTATAAAAACACCTGCTAATTTCAGCTAACCTCACTGTGAGGACATTAGCTTACACCAGAAAAATGTGAGAGTAAATTGTGCCTGACAGAGACTGAAGTACATGGGCAGTGTTTATGCTTATTGTTGAGCACTGTTTAGGAAACGAGTGGGTGTATGAGGATGTCTGTATTACCTCCTTGAAACTTGAGTCCTTGTAGAGCTACGTGAGTTAAAGACAATATGATTATATGTGTGTGTGTGTGTGTGTGTGTGTGTGTGTGTGTATGTGTATGACATTTATATACACATACACACACATACACACCCAACCCTCCCACCTGTGGACCCAGTATTACTAATTTTAAAAATCCAAACTGGTACCAGCAGGCAGAATGGTGGTTAAGGGCACTGGAATCCCACTTGGCCGATGGCAGTTTGAGTCCTGTACCTGGCGGGTTGCTTTCTCACTTTCTTCCTTCCCCTTGCCTTCATGACATTTATATACACATACACACACATACACACCCAACCCTCCCACCTGTGGACCCAGTATTACTAATTTTAAAAATCCAAACTGGTACCAGCAGGCAGAATGGTGGTTAAGGGCACTGGAATCCCACTTGGCCGATGGCAGTTTGAGTCCTGTACCTGGCGGGTTGCTTTCTCACTTTCTTCCTTCCCCCTGCCTTCCACCTCTGTCCCTCTCTGGTCAAATTTAAATAAATAAATAAATAAATAAATAAAATGTTAAATAAAATCTAAAAAAAATTTTAAAAATTCAAAATGAATAATTTCCAAATTTCAGTTTCTCAGCATATTTATATTTGGCCCCCCCCTTTTTTTTTAAAAAGAATTATTCATGGGACCAGCAGTTAGCCTAATGCTATGTTTCTGAACTCCCCTGTAGTTGACTGCGGTTTGAGTCCCGGACCTGGTGGCTTAAATTCACACCATGTGCATGTGTGTCCAAGATCCTGAGAGGAGAGGAGAATGGAGGAGAAGGGATTGCAGTGTGGGCATCCTTCCTGGGGGGGTGATTACTTGCTTTCTGTCTCTTTGTCTCTCTGTCTTTCTGGCAAGTGCACATGCCCTATAGCAAAAACCTCTCCCTGACAAAAAAAAAAAAGAAATTATTTATTTAAATTTATTTATTCATTCATTTATTTTAATTTGACCAGAGAGAGACTGGGGCAGGTGTGGGGGAAGTAGGAAAGCAAGCCACCAGGTTCAGGGCTTGAACTGTGGTCAGCCATGTGCGAGTGTCGAGCAGCTTAACCACCACGACACCCGCTGGTCCCTATATTTGTTCCCTTTTAATACCGGAAGTAATGTGTGTCTTGGAATTCAATCCAAGTATGTGGTGCAATTGTCTTACCATGTTAATTCTTTGATATGAAATGTGCTCCTGTTCTAAAAGGGGGAAAAGCAACTTTGAGTACAAGCCAACCATTCCTTTTCACTCAGCGGGTGTCAGAGAGGGCTGTGTTGGTCATGTGTTTCTGATGTTTGGGGATGGGCTGTGCCTTTTCTTCCAGCTGATGTCAATTTTGCATTGGAACTTAGTGACTTGAGACACAGGCATGGTTTCCACATAATCCTGGTCCATAAAAACCAAGCCTCAGAAGCACTGCTGCATCATGCTAACGAGCTGATCAGATTCGAAGAGTTCATTTCCGACTTGCCTCCAAGGTTACCACTAAAAATGCCGGTAAGTAGGTTTGCATTTTTCCACTCTCTATTACTAGATTATGGGGTGCCGAAAGACAGTCCTTAACAAGAGGGTTGCCTTGCCCAGGTGGGAGTGGGTTTTTTTGTTTGTTTGTTTGTTTTTGTTTTGTTTTGTTTTTTGTAGGAGACTGATCATATTTTGAAATAAGGCTTAGGAATTTTCGATTTTTCTCTTGCAGATGTACAGAGTTGATTTGTATAGCACCCTAGGGAACTGGCTAGATTTACTTTACAGCAGCCACTTCCAGTGTCTCCACAGTTAGCACAGTGCTTTCTGATAAGTGGATGGGAGTAGTGGAACAAGAATATGGGTAGAGAAAGTGATGAGGATTCTCACATACCTGTGTGGTTGGCATCAACTAGAGAGAAATTGTGCCTTTTTTAGGCATTTAATCCTCAAGCTCCAACAGGCCTCTGAGCCTATGCTGTCTAGTTAATATCACCTGCCATCAACATTACTCGTTGGAAGTAGCCCTCACTGCTACACTTGTAGCCTATTTAAGCCACATGCTAGGAAAATGTTGGCATTTTTCCAGGAGAACAAGCATTTCTGATAGACCTGATTGGGGATAAGCATGTTTACTACACAGCCCAGCTGTGTTATCATATGCTATTAAGGTGTTGCTCCTCCATAGTATGAGACCACGCAGAAGGCCCACGTTGGATTTCTGGCCAGAAAGGAAGGCCAGGCGTGGTGTGCACATCTGGAGTCCCAGCAACTTCAGAGGCTGAGATAGGATCTTTACAGAGCCACACCCTGTCTTAAAACAAATGCCTACTGCAGTACTAAGCCATGGTTAAGCTATCTGTAGAATGAATGTTTAACTGTTCAAGAAATAGTAATTATAACGGAGAAGAGCCATGGTATGGATGATCCTGAAGAGTAAACAGTCCTTTGCATTAAGTGCAGTCTAGTTTTTTAGTTTTGCTATAGGTCACATGATCATATTGGAGAGATAGAAAGTAAGAAAGCATATCCCAGGGGGGATGGCCATACCACAATCCCTTCTCTGTTCTCCTCTCAGGATTTTGGGCACACATGCATTTCCACCAGCATGTTTTTTTTTTTCTTTTTTTTTTAAAGATTTGTTTAATTTTTATTTATTGATTTTTTTTATTTTTAATTTGACTAGAGAGACACACAAAGAGGGTGAGAGAGCAAGTTACCAGGTCCGGGACTCGAACCACGGTCGGCCATGTGGGAGTGTCCAGCGCCCTAACCATCATGCCACCTGCTGGTCCCCATCCACCAGCTGTTTTTTAAGCTGCTAGGTTCAGGACTCAAACTGCATAGCCAGCCATATGGGATCCAGCGTCTTAGCCACTGTGCCACCTGCTGGCTCCTAAATGCAGTCTTAACACATAACTAAATAAATTCAGAGTTACAGAGGTATCTGGAAAGTGATCTCATTCATTGTCCCCATTTAAGGAAGAAAGAGGCACTTAGAAAAAGTAAGTGAGTCAGCAGATTGCAGCAGAGCAGAGGCTGGGTCCAGCTCTCCAATACACACACTTCCTCTGCTATTCCTACTGCATGTACTGATACCTGACAAGCCCAAATCCCGGCCATGATGAAGCACATGCTCCAGCAGTTCACACTTGGGATGCCAGAGCGTTGCCCAAGCAGTAATGTTCCCAGACCCTGCCTCAGTCTTCTGAAGTTACTTCCTAACTCACTCTTCTTAGTATTCATCGTTTTTAGTCTCTTGGCTTTTGCCACGTTTCCTTTCTTCAGCTCCTATTGGGTACTTGCTCTCCTAACCATGAACGCCTACAAGTCAGATGTTGTCTTTTAGGTGAGAGCTTGCCCGCTTTAGTGATTCTTATTCCTATGGTTAAAAGAAAAAAAGATGATTCAAAGCTGGCAATCTTGCCAGATGTTTTTTTCTCACTCACTAGATGGTAATTTCAGAAACTTCTTTTAATGTTCTTTAGTCCTTTTAATTCTAACCAATTAAACATATATTAGTCTGGCTAAATTTTGAATTCCAGGTGTAACAGAAGGAGTATAGAGTTTGTTGGTGATTGAGCAGCACCTCCCAGGTAAAAAGAAAATCTCTGATTAGAACAGTAACATGTTCATATAAGATACTGGGGCATCAGGAAAGTCATGATGCATTTTTGCATAGAAAAACATGTCATCACTTTCCTGATGACCTAAAAATAAACAGTGTTAAAAAACATGGAAAATGAAAACCCCACAGTCCTACCCTCCAGAAGTAACCATTGTTAACTGTTTAGTATTGTCCTCCAAATTTTAAAAATTTAATTGAAATAGTGTGCAATACATAGTGTAATGTGGCTCAGTTTTTTTTTCTTGTTTGTTTTAAGCTTGGCAATGTCATAGTGCAGCTACCTTTATGTGTAGAATAAATATAAATCTACCACATCTTAAAAACCAGCAGAATATTGGCTTAAACATACTTGTATGGCTGGGTTCTGATTTTTTTTTTTCAAGAAAGGCAGTTTTAGCTTTAATAAATCAAAATTTAAAAAATGTTCAGAGAACTTTGCTTAAGACTTAAAGCCAGGAAGCAGGTTAGGATTCTGTTTAAATAGTAGTTACCTGAATCTTTCAATAATTCAAGAGAAGACAAAAATCTTTATCTCTGGACTTCAAAGCATAGAAAAAGATCAGTATTGGTTTAGTCAAAAGCCGTAAAATTCTATTTCATCAGCTCAGTCTCATGTACTTAATCTAACTTCTGTTGTGGTCCAAGCTTTCCGTTTAACTTTTGGAAGATAATATTCAACTCAGCTTTTATCTCTACCATTAAGCTGGCCTTTTTCTTAGATGTTTTTTAACTCTTATTTCTGTGTGTCTGACTTTGGTTTTCCTGATATATAACACTTCCTTCAGAACTTCTTGGAGAACTAGTCTGGTGTTGGTAAATTCTTTCAGGTTTTGTTTATCTGAGAATATTCTTGTCTTCTCTTCCTATATGAAGGATAATCTTGCTGGGTATAGTATTCTTGGTTGAAATTTTTTTTCCCTTAACACTTTGAATATATTTTCCCATTCTTTCCTTGCTTGCATTGTTTCTGATAAGAGGTCCACTGTTAGCCTGATGGGGATATCCTTTGTAGGTAACTTGTCATTTCTCTCTTGCCAGTCTGAATAGCTTGTCTTTGTGGTTTTGGTCAATCTGGCTATAATGTGTCTTAGAGAAGATCTTCTGGGGTGGAGTCTATTTGGGGTCCTATGTATTTCTTGGGTCTAGATCTTCAAATGCCTCTCCAGGTTTAAAAAGTTTTCTTCCAGGATTTCATTTAATAGATTTTCAGTGCCCTTATTAGTCTCTTCACCTTCTGGGATACCAATTATCCAGATGTTTGTATGTTTGATGTTATCTAGTAATTATCATATATTATTCTCATTTTTTGGACTATTTTCTCAGTCTTTGTGGTGGATTTTTCTAGGCCAGCAATTCTGTTTTCTACATCTGAAATTTGATCTTCCGTATGATCTAATCTGCTTTTAATACTTTCAAGGGAGGTTTTGATTTTCTAAATTACAGCCCTGTCTGTATTTAACAGCATGACTCTCAAGGGTGGGTCTCTATAAATATTTCTCAACAGACCTTTCAGTTTTGGGTACTCCTCGGCTCTATTCTCCTGCCTCTTCTGGAGTTCATTGTCTCTCTTCTCTTGCATCCCTGTTAACTTTGTCACTAGGAATATTCTAATTCTTTATCAAACATTTCTATGATTTCCATTGAACTGTGGATGAAGAGGAGTTATTCTTTTCCCTTGGGGAGCTATTATCTTGGTTTTTCATATTTCTTGTGCCTTTGTGGTGATTTCTTGTTATCTTATGGAATATATGCTTCTTCCTAATTTCTAGAAGTTCAATCTAAGCATTCAGGGGTGTGCAATCTCTTTGCTGTTCCATTTTTATTACTTTGCGCAGCAGATTCGGTGGGTATTGAGGAATATGTTGACCCAATAGTATTTGGATGTTTGGCTCTGTTTCCCTTAGATCAGTCTAGATACTCAGTGAGTGGAGATTGAGCAGCAAAGGGATGAGGTAAAAGAAAAATGATAAGAAAACAGAGAGAGAGAGAAAAAAGAGAGAAAAGAAAAACAACTCAGAAATTTATTTTTTTAAATAAAGCACTGGGGCCTGGAGGCCGAATTATCAGTAGATAATCTTCATTTCTCTTATTCCCTGAAAGCATTAGTTCTCAGCTGCTATGGAGGAGTCTCCTTCTGAAGGTCTGCCCCTTGCCTCTCCACTTGAGACTGGGGACTGGAGGCTGAACTATCAATAGACAATCTTCATTTCTCTTATTCCCTGAAAGCACTAGTTCTCAGCTGCAGTGCAGCCGGGCTCTTACTGAACCAGCCCACCTGTTACTAGATGTTTTATTTCTACTCAGTTTTTTACCATCTCTAGCAAGGTAGCCTTTGTCTTTTCAGGGGGCTCCTGGGCTCTAATCAGTGGGAGAAGATCCAAGGCTTGGAAGTTCTGGGTCAGAATTTTACTAGCAAGACCACCAGGAAGGTGGTACTAATTTACATTCTTTTTTTTGGAGAGGTTTTTGCTATAGGGCGTGTGCGCTCGCCAGACAGACAGAAAGCGAGAAATCACCCCCCCGGGGGGATGGCCACACCGCAATCCCTTCTCCTCCATTCTCCTCTTGGGGTCTTGGGCACG